CACCTCTTGGGTGTTACCCTCAGGTTAATTGGTTGATGTGTACATGACGTACGTTAGCCAAACCCCTTGTTGTTCATCTTTTACCATGTGATCTACTTTCCCAAAACATATTTTATTATTGTATCCACTGCATAATCAAGAACTCTTTCCAATGTATTCCAACTTGTTGTCTCCATTTGTGTTGTCTCTTCAAACACCTGGACTGAGTTTGTTGTGTTAGGCTTAGAAGCATATTCTCATCATGGAAAAATACAGACATACACATCTTTACATTTCAACATTGACTATATATCCCATCAATATCCTCACATCCTGCTCCAAAAAAATATTAAAATAAGCATAGGTTTTAACAACAAAGAAAACAGATGTATTTACAACAAAAACAAAACAAGAAGTTTTTCATCTATTACCATAAATAACAAGATGCACTCCCCCCCCCATCACCCCACAAATTGCAGCAGTGAATACAAAGAAGTCTACTTTTTCTATTAAACTGCTCTTGTGACCAGCTAACAAAAGTTTGGGATTTGGCAGATAAAACTGACGGCCCACTCCACTATTCCTGTCCAGTGATCAGTATATTATCATTTAAATCTTGGTTCTTTATGCAGCGAACATGGGAAAGTGCAAAGTTCCAAAGTGTTACAATTAATAAGTGATCGCTCCTGCCAGTGAGAAAGGGTACTGGAACAAACCTCCCTCCCTCCAGCTTCAGAGCTGCATGTGTAGTGCACCTGAACAATGTAACAGAGTGTAGTTAACAAAGACTAAGAACCTTATCACATGAGCCTCATTCTCACCATCATCACATTAGTAAAAGGAAATGGATACTAATTGTTTTGGGAGCTTTTCTTATTGCATGTCCCTTCACTAGTGTGATGGGGGCTGTTTCTGCCACTAATGGTCTTTCACATTCCTTTCCATTCTTGCTTAACCCTGCTTCAATGCTCTATGCCCTACCCCTCATACTTTTCAGTTTTTTAATTTTTATTTGTATGTAATTCTGGAGTTATGGGAATGTGATTTAGTGAAACAAAGAAAAAAAGAAAAGAAAAGAAAAGCAGCTTATGTGGAGATAGTAAGGGGAGGGAGGAAAAGTGGAGACTGACATCATGTGACTGACCAATCTCAGAACTGCCACAGGAAGAACTTATCACACTTGAGGACTAATGACACAACAGCACAATTGGGAGCTTATTGACAGTTTTTTCTATCAATGAAAAGGTACACTCTAACCATGCTTTAGGGCACAGCAGTGACCGGTTGGAGGTAACATTGTGCAACAAGTATTACTAAAGGTACTATTTTCTGATTTTAATTATGATTCACAAGCCAAGTGTGATAAATTCCTAAGTACAAAATCAACTAAGGCTGCATCTGCACTGCAGAAATAATCTGGTTTGACATCACTTTAACTGCCGTGGCTCAGTGATATGAAATTATGGAAATAATTTAATTGTGAGACATTTAGCCTTCTCTGTCAGAGAGCTCTGGTAACACAACCAACTACAGTTCCCAGAATTCCATAGCACTGAGCCATGGCAGTTAAAGTAACATCAAACCAGATTAAACTGGATTATTCCTGCAGTGTTGATGCAGCCTTAGATGCTACATACCACCCATCTATGGAGAAATATCTTCTAACCATCATGGGGGGGGGGGGGGCATGCACAAGCATGGGGATGCAGACCATCTGTTTTGTGGATTGAAGTTCTATGTGTTTTTCAGAGACTGCATTTTTAAAAAATTTGGCTATTTACACTGCCTAACAAACTGAATATTTAAAACGTAGCATTTCTACTGGGTTTTTCCTTTTATTCCATCTATGAAGCAAAATTAATGTATTGCTTTAACACTGTATCACATATCCCAGTAGTTTTTATCTACTCTCCAGACATTTAATCAACACAAAATTATTGGAAGAACAAAAGAAAAAAAAATCAGATGGAAGGAAATTATATAGCAAGAACAAGACAGTTTTCTCAGATAAAACATACAGGGAAATATAAAAGTGCTAAAGTATCTCTTACAGGCATATTTTTTTTTAAATAAAAAAAGATAACATTGACAATATGTGCCATGAGAAGCTCATGAGTAACGTATTCTCAGTGTGAGGAAACTCTCAGTGACATCTGTAGTATCAGGAAAGAAAATACACCCCGACATAGCACATGTTTAAACTGTGACATATGTCAAAATATTTCTTTGATGTCCCAGGTGAAATCTTCATTCAGTTGAAGTCACTGGCAAATCCCCTACTATCTTACACATTCAACAGAATGTTAAGGATAGGTGAATTACATTCCCAGACTTCTTTAAAATATTGATTTGCCCACCCACCCCAGGAATAATGAGATAAGACAATGGAAAGTGGGTTTAAACAGGGCCATTTATTAACTTGACCTATTTATTAATTTCTTAACAGAACTGCAAACCATGTGGGGAACTAACCAAGGACTGGAGCAGCTGCAGCCAGTGGTCTATCTCCGAGATCACCTCCTCAAACTCCCCTGGGTGATAGCACCTGAGTCCCAATGGTAACTCAAAAGCTGGATTTTCAATTGGCCAGCCCACATCAGGAAAACTAACCTCTCCCAGTATCCAAGAATTAAAGAGAGGGGTTTATCCTCCATGCAGTACCAAGGGGTGTCTTTCCCCACCTCCCAGGTCCCAAGGCCAAAGAAGTGATTCCATAAATCTCCCTTCCACCCAAACGGTGTCCTAAGAGATCAGCAAAATCCCAATTTCTTTCAAATCATGTCAAAAATATGAGGTAAGCATCTGCTTAGCCTCTATCTCCCACCAAGGCATCCAAAACACCCTTAATTCCCTGTTGTAGGTCCCTTAAGAAAATAGAATTGCCTAGTTCAGACAGGTGAACTCCACACACTCGAAAAAGCTCAGGCCTTTGAAATATGATTTGCAGATGTGGTAAAAAGTGACCCAACTTACTTTCCAAAGCATGGAGAATATCAGAATTAGCCACTGTCATGGTTTATCCAGGCAACGAGGGTCGCCCTTTCCCCTCCATGCCTGATGTGCATCACTTACCACACCAGCTGAACCTAGAGCCACTGCCGCTTGATTGCTTTAAAATCTTGCTTTGCTTGCAAGACCAAAGCAATCCCTTTCAGCAGAGCAAGATTGTTACCCCCTAATTGAATAACCACAATTTGGGGAGGAGGCCCATGGGGCTCCTTAAACAGCAATGGCAACAGACTGTGCCAATGCAGCCTATGCTTGCTGAGCCATTCAAACTGAGAGATGTCACTCAATCCAAGATGGGATCCAAAGTGTCTCAGTTTGGCTTGGCGGGCTGCCCAATAGATCATGCTGTGGCCACACACCAGTACTCAGTGTCTCCTTGGCCTTGAAAAAGAAAAAAAAACACATGTTAACAATGAAAGTTGCATACATATTTCCAATAAGCAGAGGACTTTCACCGGCCAATTTGCTTGATATCTTGAGAGTGAAATCCACTTGAAGCGGCACCTATGCAAAAAGAGTGTGTGGCAAACTGCCCGTTTGTTAGATCAAAGCTAGTGCCTTAGAAGTAATACTCTAGAATTGGTATTTAGTTAGTGGTGAAGCATCCTGATGAATAAACAAAGGACCTGCACTGTGTCTTCTCACATGTACGTAGTCAAGGAGTGTTCAGACTGAGCAGATGTGAAGGTCCGCAGCTAATTCAAGTGAAATGGTTGAGTCCTTGCCTTGTTGGTCAGTTTTGGAAGAATGAATTAACAACGTAACAGACTGAGGTGTAATCTGGAGATCGGCAAA